CTAGAGGGCCCCAAGAGGGCCCAAGAGGCCTCCAACACGCCCAAGATGGCCTCCCAGACGCCCAAGATGGCCTCCAAGACGGCCCTGGAGCATTCCAAGCGGGCCCCAAGTCGGCCCATAGAGGCCCCCCAAACGGCTTCCGACGGCTTCAGACGTGCCAGGAACCCACCAAGATGGCCGAAGTTGGCTCGAAGCTGGCCCGAGACGGCCCAAAAAGCCCCAAAGATCGCCCAAAGCTTGCCCAAGAGGCCTCCAAGACGGCCAAGATGACCTTCAAGATGCCCACGTGTTCCCCGAAGGCTTTCCAAACCGATTCGGGGAACACGTGGTCCGATAGCTTGGCAGGTCTGGCCTCAACGTTCGGCCACATAGGCGCTTCCAAAAAGGCAGGGGGCGGCGGTGATTCGCCGTAGGCGTCTTCGATCCGCCGCCCCCTGCTTGCACAGGGGTGCACGGCGTGCTGGACGATTCAGGTTTTGGTTTTGGTTCTTTTTCTAAAAGAACTCCCCAGTGGGCTTCGGCCCGTCCCGCCGGCCACCCGTAATTTTCCCAAAATCCGTCTGTCAATGCCTTTGTTGCCCCAACTTGGCCCAAGATGGCCTCCAAGACGGCCAAGATGGCCCAAGATGGCCTCCAAGATGCCTCCCAGACGGCCAAGATGGCCTCCAAGACGGGTAAGATGGCTCCAAGATGCCTCCAAGACGGCCCAAGATGCCCTCCAAGACGGCCAAGATGGCCCCAAGATGCCTCCAAGATGGCCCAAGAGGCCTCCAAGACGTTCTCCAGGAGAGCCCGAAGAGGCCAAAATCATTTGTTTTCCTTAGGTTTTTGAAGGTTTTTTGCGTTTTCTTCTTTTCGGCCTTCCGACGGCCCAAGAGGCCCCCAAGATCGCCCAAGAGGCCTCCAAGAAGGCCCTATGACGGCCCAAGGGCCCCCCAAGACGGCCCCAAGAGCGCCCCAAGACGGCCCAAGAGGCCTCCAAGACGCCCAACATGGCCTCCAAGACGGCCCTGAAGCGCCCCAAGAGGGCCCCAAGACGGCCCAGAGAGGCCCCCAAGACGGCTCCAGACGGCGTCAGACGGACCAGGAACGCCCTAAGACGGCCAAAGAGACCCCCAGGAAGCCCCCAAAGGCCCCCAAGAGGCCCAAGGAGGCCCCCAAGATGCCTCCAAGAGGCCTCGAAGAGGCCCCCAAGAAGCCCCCAACAGACCCCAAGGGTGCCCCAAGAGACTCCTAACAACCCTCATCCTCCTACTCTATTTCTTCCTCTTCCTCTTCCTGTTCATAATCATTCTCTCCCATGTGTTCCCCGAAAGCTTTCCAAACCGACTCGGGGAACTCATGGTCCGATAGCTTGGCCAAGCTCTAGTGCAACTTTCGGCCACATCGGCGTTTCCAAAAAGGCAGGGGGCGGCGGTGATTCGCCGTAGGCGTCTTCGATTATTCAAAAAATACGGTGCCACCCGTAATGTTCCCAAAATCCGTCTGTCAATGCCTTTGTTGCCCCAACTTGGCCCAAGATGGCCTCCAAGACGGCCAAGATGGCCCAAGATGGCCTCCAAGATGCCTCCCAGACGGCCAAGATGGCCTCCAAGACGGGTAAGATGGCTCCAAGATGCCTCCAAGACGGCCCAAGATGCCCTCCAAGACGGCCAAGATGGCCCCAAGATGCCTCCAAGATGGCCCAAGAGGCCTCCAAGACGTTCTCCAGGAGAGCCCGAAGAGGCCAAAAGCATTGGTTTTCCTTAGGTTTTTGAAGGTTTTTTGCGTTTTCTTCTTTTCGGCCTTCCGACGGCCCAAGAGGCCCCCAAGATCGCCCAAGAGGCCTCCAAGAACCCCCTATGACGGCCCAAAGGCCCCCCAAGACGGCCCCAAGAGCGCCCCAAGACGGCCCAAGAGGCCTCCAAGACGCCCAACATGGCCTCCAAGACGGCCCTGAAGCGCCCCAAGAGGGCCCCAAGACGGCCCAGAGAGGCCCCCAAGACGGCTCCAGACGGCGTCAGACGGACCAGGAACGCCCTAAGACGGCCAAAGAGACCCCCAGGAAGCCCCCAAAGGCCCCCAAGAGGCCCAAGGAGGCCCCCAAGATGCCTCCAAGAGGCCTCGAAGAGGCCCCCAAGAAGCCCCCAACAGACCCCAAGGGTGCCCCAAGAGACTCCTAACAACCCTCATCCTCCTACTCTATTTCTTCCTCTTCCTCTTCCTGTTCATAATCATTCTCTCCCATGTGTTCCCCGAAAGCTTTCCAAACCGACTCGGGGAACTCATGGTCCGATAGCTTGGCCAAGCTCTAGTCCAACTTTCGGCCACATCGGCGTTTCCAAAAAGGCAGGGGGCGGCGGTGATTCGCCGTAGGCGTCTTCGATTATTCAAAACATACGGTGCCTGAAGCGGGCTTCCTCGAAGTCTCGCAGGCTGCCGACGTCCCCGCCGCTCCCTCACTCCTCCTCCTCCTCCTCCTCCTCCTTCTCCTCCTCCTCCTCCTCCTCCTTCTCGGCCTCGGAAACCACCTCCTCCTGCTCATGCTCATCATCCTGTTCCTATGTGCCTTCCGCATTCCCCTCCCCGCTCCCTTCCTTTTGTTCCTCCTCCCTCGTCATCATTATCCCCCTTCTCCTCTCACACAACCCTCCTCCGGCCCTCTTCTCCTCGACACCTACTGAATCCGACTACTTCTCTCACCTTTCCCCAGAGGGTGGCCGGGCAGTCGGCCGCCCCACCAGGGCAATGCATTTTTTTATACACCAGATTTCAAACATGTCGGTGTCCCTGCGTGTTCCAGCGCGGACCACTTTTCGGGGCCGTCTCCTTCCTCATCGTCGTCGCCAGTCGCCCCCCTCCTTTCCCCACCCCCGTCCTGTCTTCCCCTGGTCCTCCTGCCCCTTCCGCTGCTTCCAATCCAACTCCTGCCGCTGCTGTTTGTCATCGTCGTCGTCCTCCTCCTCCGCCTCCTTCCTCCTGCCCTGCGGTGGGGACGGTCTGCTGCTATGCGAGGTACTGTATCCTGGTGCTCGGCCCTACGCCACGCGAGCACTAACAATGCCATTCCGTGTGCCCGCAGGAGCAGACAAAAACGGTCTAACTCGTCAAGAAGCAGCAGCGTCACATCTTGCCCGCTGCATGGGACGCTCAAGTGCGCTCGTGACAAATGCTTTCGGTTGAAAGGCGGAAACATGTGATCCGTAAGCACCATGGGGCCTTGCGTCTGCTCACCCAGGGGAACCAACCTAATTGCGCATGCTGGTCGATTCGGCAGGGTGTGGACGGGAGTTTGTGCTCGGCCCCCCTACGAACCAAGCCGTCTCGACTGGGCGGCGAGTCTCGGGCGACGAGGTCTCTGCCAATTCCCGAGTCGTCTTCTTCGGACGACCTAATTATGCCCCGCGCGCGGGGAGAGGCCCTTTGATGGACTCCATGGGCTTCGCCTTCCTCCTGCTCGTCCTCCTGCTCAAGCGCCTCCTCCTCCCCCTCCTCCTCCTCCTCCTCCTCCTCCTCCTCCTCCTCCTATGTACGCACTTCTGGGTAACAACCAATGTAATTTTTTGGGGGGGATTCCAAGTCCACTGCGACACGCGTCGGCGGATGGAGCAAACATCAACAACCTGGGAAGGGATGGTCGGGCCGGGCGAAAGGGGGGGATAGCAAAGGGGGGGGTGAGAATCATCAGCTCACGTAGCTGGTTTTCCCGGCGCCTCCCGGCGCCGGAGGCGGCTATGTATCGAGGAATGGGCCCCTCGGTGGGGCCGAAACCAGCTGCATGCAGCAGATTTCGTAACCCCCCTTTCCCAATCCCCCCCTTTCGTCCGGCCCGAGATGGGTGGGAGGGGTAGGATGTCCGGTGTGGCCATGTGAGCGCGCCTGGCTTGTCCTTCTCCTCTCTCTCTCTCCACCCCGTGTTCCTTGTAGATAACTCCTCCGTGTCGCGCCCCCGAACGTGTCGGTAGGGCGAGCCGGGCGTTTCGCCCGAGGCTTCTGTACCATGTATGACTATCAGGCTGGAAATCTGCAACATTTAAACTGGTTGAACACACGTCGCTTTCGAAATGTGGATCTCGCTTGATGTTCGCAAATAGTCGCCTTGAACGCTTGCAACATTCACGCAAATGAAACACACATTGTCCTCAAAATAACTGCTCTCGCCTTGGCGCCGTGCACATTTAGTCCTGCAATCATGCAACAATTACACGCGTGGACCGCCTGCCATTTTCAAAAAATATGGGTAACGCCTCGAACTCCCGTACATTCTAGAATGTCCATACACGCACCTAAAGCTTACAGCTATTGCGCGCATGGGCGGCAGTCACATTTTTCTTGATCTGGCTCCCACGCACAGTCGTCTGTAAGAGCTTACAACAATTACGTGGATGTGGGGCGTTTCTTTTAGTGACGGCCTCGCCTCAGCGACACGCACATGAGTCTTCAACACTCGCAATCGTTACGCAGATGGAGCACAAGTCATGTTCGAAATGCGGCTCTCACCTTAGCGCCACGCGCATTCATCTTGAAACCTCAAAGCAGGTACGTCTTCGCGAAGAGGGAGGCTGGAAAAAGCTCGGGGGATGGACGCTCGGGAACTGGGACGTGGTTAGCGGGTCGCGCCGGAGCGTGGTGGGCCAGGACTGGCGGCGCGACTCATGAAGCAAGCGTTCGCAAGTGAAGTAGACCCGAACGAGCATTGCCATGCAATTCCTGTCAACACGGGGCCCTCGCCAAAACGGCAAGCCTAAATGGCACGGCGTCGTCGATGAATATCTGGTGTATTCTTGTCCTCCTCCTCCTCCTCCTCCTCATCCTCCTCCGCCCGTCTTCTTCCTCCCAGCACCCTCGGTGCGGTGGGTCGGGCAAGTGGGGGTGGGTGGGGGTGAGGGCGGGGGCGGGTGGTGGGAGGCGGAGGAGGAGGCGGAGGAGGAGGAGGAGGGACCAGAGACCAGGATCAAGGGGACGCAGAGTCCCACGGGCGGCGGGCCGCCTCCTCAGAAGAAGGCGGCGTCGTCGGCCACCTCCTCGAAGACCTGCTTGTGGTTGCCCTCGTCGGCCACGCCGAAGGCCTCTCCTGCCTTCTGGGCCTCCGCAGTGGAAACGTCCTGCTCGTCGCGCTCGTCGGCCGTTTGGAAGCACCCCGGGGCTCCTCCTGCCTTCTGCGCCTCCGCAGTGGCGGCGCCCAGCTGCTGTTCGAGCACGGCGCGGCGCCAGGCGGTGGCAGCAAGCTCGTCCTGCTGCGCCTGGCTCTCCACGGCGCCGCCGCTGCGCACAACAGCGATCGCAAGCGCAGCAGCATTCAGACGCTCGTTGGCGTCGCAGAGGAAAGCCTCTAACTCTACGACGCGAGCTCTCGCAACGACCTCCGCGATCTCGAACTCGTTCTTGTTCTCGTCGATGGCCGCCGCCGCCGCCGCCTCATCACCCCCTACCGAAGACAGCGTCTCGGGAGGAGCGGCATCTGTGGCGTCGATGGCGGCGGCCGCCTCATCGCCCCCTTCCGAGGACAGCGTCTCGGGCGGAGCGTCATCGGGGTCCCAGGCGCCGATGGCCGCAGCCACTTCATCACCCCTTTCCGAGGGCAGCGTCTCGGGCGGGGCGGTATCGGGATCCCAAGTGTGTTGCGGGACCTCCGCGGTCCGAGAAGCGCGGGCCAGGCGCTCACGAGGCCGCGCGAATAACCTCGCCTGGCCGGCAGCAGAAGCAACCTCCACCATCTCCACATGGGCCAGCGTCGTCCAGACTACATCCTGTGGAAGAAAGCCCTCCACGAATGGTGCCAACTTGCCGTCTCTGTACACGGCGTCGTGCGCAAAGCCATCGTCCATCAACACCTTCTAGAAAAGGCACATCGCCGTCGTACGGCTCGCACTCGAAGCCACCGACAGTCTGCAGCTCCCCCATGCCGTAATCGTTGCCGTCGTCGTGCTCAACGCCAGCAGCTAACTGCACATCGTCGATGCCATGCTCGTCGCCGACGTTGGGCACGCTCCCGAAGTTAGCGTCCGTGGGCACCTCCACGAAGCCGCACTCGTCCTCGCTGCAATCGGGCACGACCGCGCCGAGGAGGCCGAGAGGGACCAAGACAGGCGACTCCGCCCACAACACGCTCCCGGCCTCGGCGCGCCGCTCTAGCCGGGGTCCCAGCTCCGCGCGGCGCGTCGCGAAAACCTCCGCCTCGCAGATCAGCACGTCGATGGCCCAGGCCACCGCGCTTTGCCAGTCCACGCCGTCGCGCTGAATCTTGTTCAGCTCCCGCATGGGTGCCTGCGCCAACCACATGGAGGGCACGCCGAAGTTGTGGGATGCCGCATTGCGCCTGAAGACCTTCACGCCCTCGACCTTCCTGCTCTCGAGTCTGGCCGCCAGCACAGGCGCGACCAGCAATAGCCGCTGCGCCAGCTCAGTGTTCGCGGAACTCCTGGCGGAGAGCTTCCAACTCGGTGGAACAGTTCTGGAGCTCCGTGGTCAATCGGGCAACAGCGGCATCAGCGACCGCCTGCGCCCTGTGGCCAGCTGCAGTGCGCTCGGCTCGCGAACGCCTGGCCCATTTAGGATCGCCAGGTGGGCGACCCTGCCCGTCCGCCTCGCTCGCCCCAGCAGAGTGAGCCAAGCTTGAGCCAACACGGCTACGGAGGAGGAGGAGGAGGAGGAGGGAGGAGGGAGGAGGAGGGAGGAGGAGGAGGAGGGGAGGAGGGAGGAGGAGGAGGAGGAGAAGGAGGAGGAGGAGGAGGAGGAGGAGGACGAGGAGGAGGAGAACGAGGAGCGAGGAGGAGGAGGGGGAGGAGGAGGAGGGGAAGGAGGGGAAGGAGGAGGAGGAGGAGGAGGAGGAGGAGCAGCAGCAGCAGCAGCAGCAGCAGCAGCAGCAGCAGCTAGAGGAGAGGTGCGAGTCTCACTATCCATGCAACATTGGCCACCCACGATCCTCGATGAACAAGCAGGCGCTCTTGAGGGCCTCGGGACACCCGGAACAGCCTAACGCACGCCCTCGCGAGAGAGAAGCAATCCACATCGGCCGTGTTCGGGCTGCTTTTCTGGCGGGCCAGCGTGGGGCAGATACTGGCAAGGCTCAGAATAGCGCGCACAGCCCCCAAAGGAAGCCGCGGCTGCCCTCAAAGGGCTTCCTCGGATGGTCTCACCTCCCGCGGGCTTCGCGACCCGGAGATGCGAACCAGCCTTGACTTTGGAGGCGGCGCTGGGGGGCCTGAGCCGGTCGGGGCCCAAGGAAATCTGTCAAGAGGGGGGCATTGAAGGCAAATCCTATCAAAAAATCCAACCCCAGAACTCTCATGGGGTCAAGACTGTGCACAGTATTCGGCCTGACCTAAGGAACGAGAAATAGGGAGCGAAGCTCCTTTTTTCCAAGTGAGTCTAGGAAGAAGTCCCAGGAACACCAGGGAGCTCGCCGCCAAAAGGGTAGCGGAACGCATGCAAACCAAAGGAGCGACCGAGCCCCTCTTGAAAAGTAAGTGTTCCTTATTCAAGCCGGACCCTTTAATTCTTTACCCTGGATCTGCTTTGGACGTTCCCAGGGTCCGGAAACGGCCCCCTGGGACTGAAGGGCGCACAACACCTGCAGGAGCCCCGAACCATATGCCTCGAACCCAGCCCCCCGGGTCGACAGAAGCTGGTCTCGGGATTCTACGGACCCGGGCCAATGCAAACCCAGGTCAGTCGGGCTTTGCAGGATCCTGCAAGATCCTGCAGGGTCCTGCGCGCTGCAATGCAACCCTGGCTCTGCAGGATCCTGCAAGATCCGCCCTACTAATCAAATTCGACGGTTCAAAACGCAGGGAACCCACGACGCCTGTTGACACAAGCGGGTACCAGGGATGGCTGCCTTCGCGCAACCCCAAGGCGATGGAAATATTAGGTCGGGCATGTCCTCCTACAGGCGGATTTTGCAGGACAAATTAAACATCCGCCGATCCAGCGTGTGAGTTTCAGAGAGCGTGGGCTTGAGCTCGCTCAAGCTTCGCTCTGGAAGGGGTGGGCGCAAATAACGAACACCGACGAAAGAATTGACACGCGAGGGGGGGGAAAGAGAAGAGGGGGGGGGGGCTCGCTCAAGCTTCGCTCTGCAAGGGTGGGGGGGGGGGGGGGGAGGGGACGCCACTACGAAAGAATTGAACACGCGCAGGGGGGGGGGGGGGGAAGGAGAGACGGGGGGGGGTGGCAGGAGAGGGGGGGGGGGACAGGAGGGAGTGGGGGGCAAATGATAGAGGGGGGGCGGGGAGAGGGGTGGGGGGGGGGGAACATGAGAGAGGAGGGTGGGGTGGGGGGACAGGAGAGCGGGGGCGGAGGGGGGGGGGAAAGGAGAGAGGGGGGGGTGGACAAGGAAGAGAGGGAGGGGGGGGACAAGGAGAGAGGGGGGGGAAGGGGGGGGGAAAGGAGAAGAGGGGGGGGGGGAGGGGGAGAGAGGGGGGGGGGGGAGAGGGGAGAGAGGGAGGGAGGGAGGGAGGGAGGGAGGGAGGGAGGGGGGAGGACAAGCTAGGTGCGCGCGCGTCATATCTGACGTCCTACCCCTCCCTCCCATCCCTTACCATGGCGCTGATTTTCTCTATCCGCGGACTCGTGGGTGGTGGTGCGCGTGCGTGCGTGCGTGCGTGTGTGCGTGGTTGTGGTGGTGGTGGTGGTGGTGGTGGTGATGGTGGTGGTGGTGGTGGTGGTGGTGGTGGTGGTGGTGGTGGTGGTGGTGGTGGTGGTGGTGGTGGTGGTTGTGTATGTGTGCGTGTGTGCGCGTGTGCTGTGGCATGGCACGAAATGACGCCAACGCTGCAGCGGGAGCACGAGTCGAAACGGGCGGAAGCGCGGAAATGAGGCCAGCGCTGCAGCGGGAGCACGATTCGGAACGAGCGGAAGCACGGAAATGAGGCCAGCGCTGCAGCGGGAGCACAATTCGGAACGAGCGGGGCCCGAAAATGCGGCCGGCGCCTCAGCGAGAGCAGCATTTTGAAAAAATGCATGCGAAAACCCAACTCCCGGGAATCCTGTGTGTAAAAAAGCAGGACGCAGGGGGGGGGTCGGCTACTTTCAGGCCGCCATCGGGGGAAGAGGGAGAGTAGTATTCATATCGAGTAATTGTGAAGGGAAGGGGGGGGACAAGAGAGAGGGGGGGGGAAACAGGAGAGAGAGGAGGGGGGGGGGGGAAAGGAGAGAGGGGGGGGGACAGGAGAGAGGGGGAGGGGGACAGGAGAGAGGAGGGGAGGTGGGGAGGGGGGGCTGGGATCACCACCATCTCCATCACTATCACTATCACCATCGTCACATCACCATCATCATCATCACTATCATCCGGAGCGTCCTGGATCGGCGGCACTGGCCAAAGGCCACTACAAGAATCAAACCGTGTCAAAAATGGGAAGAAATGATAAACAAATTGTTCCCAAATCATTTTTGTATACAAGTTTTCCCTACCTAGGCTCTGCCTAGAGGGTTCTTACTCTCTTAGCTTAAAGGGGCCGGGCAGTGTAAATCGCCCCGGGCGGTTCCCCCAGTCCCCGCCCCGCGGTTCCCCCAGTCCCTTGGGAGCTTTAGCTGCTTTAGCTTTAGCTTTAGTTTTAGCTTTAGCTTAGCTTTAGCTTAGCTTTAGCTTAGCTTTAGCTTAGCTTTAGCTTAGCTTTAGCTTAGCGTTAGCTTAGCTTTAGCTTAACCTTAGCTTAGCTTTAGTTTAGAATCAGCTTAGCTTTAACTGTAGCTTAGCTTTAGCTTAGCTTTAGCTTAGCTTTAGCTAGCTTTAGCGTAGCTTTAGTTTAGCGTTGGCTTAGCTTTAGCTTAGCGTCAGCTTAGCGTTAGCTTAGTGTTAGCTTAGCGTTAGCTTAGCTTTAGCTTTAGCTTTAGCTTTAGCTTAGCTTAAGCTTATAGTTATCTTAGCTGTAGCTTATACTTAGTTTAGCTTTAGCTTAGCGTTAGCTTAGCTTTAGCTTAGCTTTAGCTTAACTTTAGCGTAGCTTTAGCTTAGCTTTAGCTTAGCTTTAGCTTAGCTGTAGCTTAGCTGCAGCATAGCTTTAGCTTAGCTTTACTGTTACTATTAATGCTGCTTTCCTAGGGGCTCCAACTCCTAGGTAGGGTCGCACTGGGATAATTTACTATTCCTCCTGTAAAGGGTCACGCCCGACTTCATGCAAAGGGGGGCCATCGGGGCCGCCGTTTCCTCGAGGCAACGAGCCACTCCAGAGGCCCCCCAGGATTCCCACACCGTCCGAGGCCTCCTCGATCCTCGATCCCGCCTCCGCCTCGATTCTCGGTCTCGATCCCCTCGATCCCCTCCTCCTCCTCCTCCGCCTCCGCCTCCTCCTCCTGCTCCTCCTCCTCCTCCTCCTCCTCCTCCTCCTCCTCCTCCTCCTCCACTGATCCTCGATCCCCCCCTGCTCCTCGACTCTCGGTCTCCAGGAGGAAATGATGACCCCGCCAGTGGTGACCCCCCTCGGCACTGCCCGGAACCCTCGAGCCTTGCCGCTTTTCCTGGCTGTTCCAGGGCCCCCGAGCCACGACTGCCAGCCTCCAGCGACGGCTCCTGGTGATCCACCGTCGGCAGGCGCAGCTGCTGGATCCCCAGGCGCTCGTACTCGGCCTTGGGATGAGCTTCGGGGGGGGGGGGGGCAGGGAGGACTGGGAGGAGAAGGAGTGCGACGGAAAGCAGGAGCAACTCCGCCTTCCCCCTCCTCCTCCCGCCCCCCTACCTGCCCCTCACCATCCATCCCCCTCTCCCTCTCAGCCATCCGACCTCCCTCCCTCCTCTTGTCTCCTCCCTCTGCCCCGCCTGCCCGTCCTCTCCCCCGCCTGCCCGTCCTTCTCCCTCCTCACTCTTCTGTCGTTGTTCCGCCGTCCTCCCTCACTCGCCCCCGGCTCCTTTCTTCCTCCCCCTCTCCTTCTTCCTCGTCCTCCTCCTGCCCTCCTGCTCCTCCTCCTCCTCCTCCTCCTCCTCCTCCTCAGCTTACTCCCCCCTCCTCCTTCCTCCTCCTCCTCCTCCTCCTCCCTCCTCCTCCTCCTCCTCCTCCTCCTCCTCCTCCTCCCTGTTTCCTCCCCAAACGCCCCTCCTCCTCCATCCCCGCTCCTCCTCTCACCGCCCATCTCCTGCCATTTCCCTACCTACTCCTCTCTACCACCTCCCTCTCTCTCCCCTCCCTCCTCCTCCTCCTCCTCCTCCTCCTCCTCCTCCTCCTCCTCCTCCTCCTCCTCATCATCATCATCATCATCATCATCATCATCATCATCATCATCATACATCTTCCTCTTCCTCTTCCTGCTCCCCTTCCTCCTCCGTTTTTTCTTAGGCAAGCTGCTGAGCCTCTGGGACCTGTAGCGTCACGTCAGTGCGTGCATAGCATATGGCCAAACTGCAGGGGACCGGAACCTCAAACTGAATCGTAGGCATATGCGCCCAAGATGCCTCCGAGATACTCTCATGAGGAACTTGAGACGAAGAAAAATTGAGGGGGGGCGGGCGACGTCGACAAGGCAGAGGACGACGATAAGCAAAATAAACAACAACAGACGCAACAGACTAAGAGCTGTACTGGTGCGGATCTGAAACCTGAAACTCGAAAACGTCCCCTCTTCGCTGCTGCGGTGGCACGGTAGCCGGAGCTGCAGCAGGATTTTGGATTCAAACAACTGTGCCTCAAGGGTACCAGGACATTGTAGCGGTGGGAGAGGCCCGCGAAAGCCAACGCGTCAGGCCGCTGTCTCGTCTCGCGCGAGGCCCGTTTTTGATCGTCGCTCATTTGGCCTCGTCCACCTCCCCCACCCCCGTCACATCCCACCCTCCATCATCCACCGCCCGTTCCCCCCTTCCGGGTAGGGGGGAGCCCTCGTCCGTTGAGGGCCGTGCTGGGCCGACCCGCCGTCGGCGCTTGCGAAAGGGGGCCGACGCGCGCGCTTCCCGTGGTCCGCGCGCCGCTGCGGCACAACTCCATCGACAGGGCTTCCGCAACTCGTCATGCGACCCCCAAAGTGTCGAACCACGATAAGATGCTACAGACTTCCCCCCCCCCCCCCTCCTTTTGCCCCGTCCTCCTGCATCATCCGCCGCCCCCCCCCCCCTCCCCCTGCCCGCGCCTCTGGCCCCGCGTACTCGTCCTGCATGTTAACCACAGCCCGCACGCCCAACCCGTAGAGCCGCTCGGGGTGGCCCATGAGCGACACCGGCACGACGCCCAGCAGCAGCGTGCCGTCCACGTGGCACCATAGGCCCCGCCCCGCCCACCTGCACTGAACACTGACGACGTCGACGCACTCGACGGCGAGGAGGACGAGGAGACCGAGGAGGAGGAGGAGGAGGAGGAGGAGGAGGAGGAGGAGGAGGAGGAGGAGGAGGAGGAGGGGGAGGAGGAGGAGGGAGGAGGAGGAGGAGCAGGGAGGAGGAGCGAGTGGGAATGGGGAGGAAGAGCCAGCGGGCGAGCCTGAAGGTGGGCCGGGGGCAAGATGGTGCGGCGGGGGAGGCCAGCGAGGAGTACGGGGAGGGCGAGGAGAAACATGGGAGAGAATCAGGAAGGGGGGGGGAAGGGAGGGGGGGAGGAGCAAGCTAGATGCGCTCGCGTCATATCTGACATCCTACCCCTCCCTCCCTTCCCTTACCATAGCATAGATCCCCTCTCTACTCGCACAGTCGGATGTCGAGCAGGGCAATGATCCCGAAAGGGTACGCGATGCTTGTAGAGCACTGCATGGCATGGCATGGCGTAGAAGAGCACCGCAAAGCGTAGTATGTCACAGCATGGCGTGGCGTGGCGTAGTGAAGAATGGCATCACAAAGCTTTGCAACACAAGCATGGCATCGCACAGCGGCCCCGAACATAACATTGCATAGCATGGCGTTGAAGATCAAAGCGTAGCATGGCATAGCACGACGTGGCACTTAAGCACTGCATATCACAGCTTCAGCTGAAGGCATGGCATTGCGCAACGGAACGCAACCTAGCATTGCATTGTATGCCGTGGCATGGCACGGGAAATGACGCCAACGCTGCAGCGGGAACACGATTCGGAACGAGCGGAAGCGCGGAAATGAGGCCAGCGCTGCAGCGGGAGCACGATTCGGAACGAGCGGAAGCACGGAAATGAGGCCAGCGCTGCAGCGGGAGCACGATTCGGAACGAGCGGGGCCCGAAAATGAGGCCGGCGCCTCAGCGAGAGCAGCATTTTGAAAACAAATGCAGGCGAAAACCCAACTCCAGGGAATCCTGTGTGTAAAAAACAATACGCGGGGGGGGGGGGGGGCGAACACTCCCAACCCGTCATCAGGGGAAGGAGGAGAGTAGTATTCATATTGAGTAAATGTTGAGGAGGGGGGGGGGGGGAGGGGGGAAGGAGAGGGGGAGGAACGGGAGGTGTCAGGGCCTTCCTCCCCCTCTCGCGTTCTTTCCTCGCCATCACTCCCCTCTCCTCACCCTCCCTCGCCCTCCCTTCCCTCTCCCTCCCCCCCACCCCTCACCCTTCCTCCCCTTCCCCCCTCCCCCTTCCCCCCTCCCCCTTCCAACCTCCCTTCTCCCCTTCCTCCCCCCCTCCCTCCTCCCTCGTCCTGACCCCTCCTCCTCCCACTCCCCCCTGGGGGGGAGGTGTCCGATTGGCGCCGCCCACCAGCTCCTCGCGATGGTCAGCGGCAGCGTGGGCCAGAGGTTGAGGAGCATGGCAAGAGGTTCGATCTGCCCGCGGACGAAATTGCAACCCGGCTCTGCTGAGGAGGGTGAGGAGGTTGTTGGAGGATCGGGTCGGGCGAAAGGGGAGGATGGCAAAGAGGGGGGTTGAGAATCAGCTCACGTAGCTGATTTTCTCGGCGCCTCCACGCGCCGGAGGCGGCTATGTATCGAGGAATGGGCCCCTCGGTGACGCCGAAATTAGCTGCATGCAAGAAATTTCGTAGCCCCCCCTTTCCCAATACCCCCCTTTCGTCCGGCCCGAGAGGAGGCGTGAGGACGAGGAGCAATGATGATCGACCGGGTGGGAAGATGAAGAGGGGGAGGGAGGCTTCTGGGCTGGAGCGCTGGGGACGTTGCCTGTGCTTGCGCGGAGGAGGAGGGAGGATAGCGGGGGCCCCTTGCCCGTTCCCTCCCGCACCTTCCTCTCCTCTTCCCTGCCAGGACGGGGTCCAAGGGTGCCTGGGGCTGGGCAGCTGTGGACATCCTTGGGGGGCCACATGCGAACCCTACCCGTACCCCCCCCCCGATTTCCGAGGGGGAGGGTGGGGTTCACGTCGTTAGGGAGCTCCCGAGCGAAGTGAACCCCACCCTTCCCCTCAGAAATCGTGGTGTGTATGGGGTCGGGTTCGCATGTGGCCCCCTAATCCTCTCCCCCCGCTCCTCCGAAGTAAGCGCGGCCCACCACCCGCCCAAGAGACTCGGGCAGCATCTTGCGCTGGAACATCGCGAACGGGGCGGCCACCGCCTGGTCACGAGAAGGGAGCGGCCCCCGAGGGAAACCGGCCCTGGACCCTGGGCCCCCTCCCCAGGGACCAGCTGGTCACCTGCAGCTGCTCCTTTGAAGGGGCCCTGGGACACACAAATGAACACACACACACACACAAATAACAGGATTTCCCGTATTTTCCTATAGTTTCTAGGTTTTTGTCTTCCCCCCCGCTTCCCATGTTTTCCCATCTTTTCCTAGGGGTCGACGGTCATTTGTGTCTGTGTGATCTTTGTTCCTCCTGATTCTTGACGGCCCGAGGGCCCGAGGGAGGGCCGTTGAAGCCCGGCAGCGGCGAAGAAAACCTCCGGGGCCGCCTGGCATGGCGGTGGCAGTCGCCAACAGGCCTCGATGAGCAGGGCCCGTCGCCGCGGCCTCGCGCCTCTAGTGGGCCCCGGCAACGGCAGGGCCGTTTTTTGCACCGTTTCTCCTTGAAAATGGAAACGGCAAAAATAAACTATGCACATGCACCGATTCTGGCCAGGCCCATCCTGGGCCCAGGATCGGTGCATACGCCCTCCTACCTTGGCCAGGAAGGTATATGCACCGATCCTGGGTCAAGGATGGGCCTTGCCAGGATCGGTGCATGTGCATAGTTCTCGTCGCCCGATGGAAATGGAAACGGCACAAAAATGCGACCGGAAACGGCAGCAAGAACGGCTCCAGGATTGGAACCGGAGCGGGAACCCGTAAGAGAACGGCGACCGAACCGGAAAAAAATCGGCGTCGGAATCGGCAAAAAAAGGCAACACGGAACCGGTAACAAAAACGGCCCTGTCGTTTCCAGGGCCCACTGAGCTCGCGGGCCCCATGGGCAACGAGCCTGCGGATACGGGGCGTTTTTGGTTCGCTGACGCCCCGCGCGGAAGCGTACCCGTGCGGCCGCGTCTCCGCGGGATCGCGCCCTGGGACCCACACCGCGAGGGCGTGCACGAGGCCACGTTCGCCGCTGAGGGTGAGCAAACGCCCAAGAGAGCCGCCGCTGTCTCGGCCGGCACTCGTCCCCCCCCCCCCCCGAGAAGCCAAAATGGGGCCAAAACCGTAGTAAAACCAATGATTTTGGCTTCCTCGCCGAGGCCGTTTTGGATGCTCCGACACCTCGCGGAACCCCCTGTCCAGTTCCGGGAAAGGGCTGCGAAAGATGTACCCTGGGCAGGAGTGGCCTTGGGTACGCGGCTTCTTTTTTTTTTGGGGGGGGGGGGGGCGCGAGGGGCGCAGTTCGGGCACGTGAGGCGCGTCAGGCCAGTGCCAGGGTCACACCTGTGGGCATGCACCAAACAGAGGAGCACACACTGACGCGAAACTCAAAACTCGGAGGCCCGCGCGGATTTCTCGAATCGGCGCTTGGACCACCCTCCCTGGCGCGCAGAGTGCGGCAGCAGCGGCGCCGGAGGCGCCTCCAGGGGGCTCCAGCGCTGATCCGAGAACTCTGCACGGACCTCAGGATTTTTATACATGTCATTGTCTGCTTCCTGTTTCATTATGAGCAATCAGAAGTATCCCTAGTCCTTTGGGAGGGGACCAGAGGTTAGGATGGCCAGAGAAATGATGGATGAAGGGGGTCTTATCTGCAAATGTTCCAGGCGAAACCACCCACACGTTCAGGGATAAGATAACCCTGGAACACCAAAGACCGAAATTAGACCACGAACTCGTTGTGTGATTCGGGTTCGGGGCCGATTTTAGCTTCATAAACTCGCGGTCACTCCGTGGCTCTTCTAAACAAATAAAACACGCCATAAACATAGGCTGTTGGCGCTCCGCGCGAGTTTCTTGGATCCGCGCTGGACCCCCCTCGCGCGCGGAGCGCGCCAGGGGCGGCGCTGGATGCGTCGCCGAGGGGGGGCCTAGCCGGATCTAAGAAATACGCGCGGAGCGCCAAAAATTCATGTCTATGCCGTTTTTCTGCTTCGATTTTCCTTCCTGGCGGCCATCGCGGCGACGTCGGCGATGCATCAGCGCCGTCGCCGCGGAGAAAACCGGGCTCCGCATCGAGCCGCATCGCCGATGCATCGGCGATGCGGCGCAATCCTCCGACCCCGTCTGCTGCAACCCCATCTCGGAGGCCTAAATTTGTTTCCTTCCTGGCGACCATCGCCGGCAGCACCAGCGCGGCGAGCCGGGAGACCGGCCACCTCTGATGGGCCTGTTGTCCACCAGCACCACCACCACCACAGGTTGGATGGGGGGAAGGAGGAGGAGGAGGAGGAGGAGGAGGAGGAGGAGGAGGAGGAGGATGAAGACGACGAGGAAGACGACGAGGAGGAGGAGGAGGAGGAGGAGGAGGAGGAGGAGGAGGAGGACCCCCTCCCGCTCCAACTGATGGTGGTGGTGGTGGAACACGGGCCCATCCACCTCGGCCTGGCCAGCGCCGAGCCCGGGCCCTCCCTCGGCGGCATGGCCGCTCTCCGCGGCGGGCGCTCGACGGGCGGCCGCGGGCGGCGGGGCGGGGCGGCGCGCCGGCCAGCGGCCGCGGGCACGCAAGCCCGAGCCCGACGGGAGCCGTGGGCGCCGGCGGCGGAGACGGATCCTCGGTCCTCCCTCCTCCCTCCTTCCGTCCTTCCTCCTCCATTCTCCTCCTCCTCCTCCTCCGTCCTTCCTTCCTTCCTTCCTTCCTTCCTTCCCTCCTCCTCCTCCTCCTCCTCCTCCTTCTCCTTGCTCCTTCTCCCTCCTGCGTTTTTCTCTCTCTTCCCGGCTCCTTCTCCTCCCTCCTCCCTCCTTTTTGCGCCGCCTCTGCACCCAACAGCAATCAGGACCGAGAACGGTGAAAGGAAGAAGGAACGGCGAGACGAGCACAAGACAAGGAGAGGTCGGGGAAGACCAGTCCCACAGATACCTGCAGCCTGCTCCCTCGTGCCCTCGCTCGCCACTGCTGCAGCCTCGCCTCTGACGGTGCCGAGCCCATGAGAGGGGAAATCGGGGACGACGAATTCCGCGGACACTTGCCGCCCAAACCGGCACCGTCATCAGGGAAACCAGCAATGGCGTAAACATAAAAACTCAGAGATCCGCGCGAATTTCTCGGATCGGCGCTGGGGCCCAATGGCGGCGCCTCCAGAGCCGCCCCTGGCGCGCTCCGCGCGCCAGGGAGGGGGGTCCAGCGCAGATCCAAGGAATCCGCGCGGACCTCAGAATTTTTACGTTTATGTCGCTTTTCGTTCCCCTAGCCATTCAGGAATTGGGAACTGCGCCTCTGGCCGGGCGTCGCCACCTGCCGAAGCGCTGTGCGAGCCATCTCTGGTGGTGGCTCCCGCTCTCTGCAGCAGCGGCTGCGCGCCTCTCAAAAAATTATCTCGGCGAGAGGTTGCGGCCTCCCGCCCAGAGCAGGTCGCGCAGGGTGTCGGCGAAGCGCAGCGGCTCCTCCCGCCGCTCCTTGACGAACTGCTCTTGATTCGCCGACTCCACGGCTAGGCCCAAACTCGCCGCATCGATGAACTCCGCGCGGGGCGTCTCGCAGGCCACGCTGACGCCGGTGAGCCGCTCACGGAGCGGCACGAAATGTTGAGAAGAGTGACTGTTGCAGCACCAGGCCCTCTGCTGCTCCTCCACGGGTGCGATGAATTCAGCATCGACGGCGAAATTGACGAAGGAGGGGGCGGCAGTAGCTCCAGCGCCCGCTGGGGCCCGAACTGCACCTCTGGCCGCACGACTGCCCGCCTGCATACTCTAGAATGCCACCGTGCCGCACGTGCAGCGGAAACCCCGCTGCGCACTCCGCGTGCAGTCCTCCGCGTCGCGCTGCAGCAGCCCGGCCTGGTCCCCTCTCCTGTGCAAGACGCAGCGCTCCAGGAGGGTGGCCGACACGATCAGGTCGGGCGTATCCCCCTACAGGCGGATTTCGGGCGAAGAAACCAAAATACTCCAAAAATACCCCCACATAATCAAACATTTATTTGAAAAATAACCCCCATACTATTTGTTTGACTATTTTTGATTTTTTTCTGTAGAGGGACAGGCCCGACTTAACGATACGAGGAAGGAGCACGTGCCGCTCCAGAACGGCGCAATTCAGAGCCTCTCCGACGCGCTCCACCGCGGGCATGCGGCGGCCAAGCCCCCAGACCAGATCGAGCTCGGACTGCGCCACTGCGGGCCTCCGCGAGTCCCGTCGCCCTTCTTCCAACCCGTCGCTCCTATCCCGGCGGGCTCCGTGCTGAGCTCCTCGGATCTCCCGGCCGCTCGCCGTCAAGATGCCGACGCCCTGCGCCTCGGCGTGCGGGCCCACGCTCCGACGAGTCCGCTCGACCCGCTTCGGGCGACCGGCGACGAGGGCCGCGAGTGCGGGCAGGAGTGCGCGTACTCGTGCTGCAACCTCGCCCTCCCCAGTGATGACGTCGATCGCGGGTTCCGCCGCGGTCACCTGCGACTCGGAAGCCGCGACCTCCTTCGCGAGACGCTTCACTGACCGGTCCCCCGCTATCCCGCGCTGCGACGGAGCCCCGCAGGGCCGGCCTCCCGCGCCATGGTACCGCTCCCCAAGCGCGCCCGTCTAGCCCGCGGCAATGGGGGCCAGCAAGGCCATGAGCCAAAATGGCTGCTTCGGACTCCTCCTCCCTCCTCCCTCCTCCCTCCTCCTCCTCCTCCTCCCTCCTCCTTCTCCTCCTCCTCCTCCTTCTCCCTCCTCCTCTTTCTCCTCCTCCTCCTCCTCCTCCTCCTCCTCCTCCCACTTCCCGCCTTCCTCCTTCCTCCCTCCTCCTCCCTGGTCCTTCTCCCTTCTCTTCTTGATTCCGCGCGGATTTCTGGGATCAGTGCTGGGCCTCCCCAGCGGCACCTGCGGCGCCGCCCATGGCGCGCTCCGCGCGCTGGCCTTGGGGGGCCCAGCGCCGATACAAGAAATCAGCACGGAGCTCCCAAAATTGATGTTTGTGCAATGATTTCTCCTCCGACCCATGCAAGCACCGGGCCGCATGGGAGCGTCGGAGGGTCAGAACTCTTCGGAACATCATACCTCATAACCAGTCCGGATCGGCCCAGCCTGAACCGACCTCGCATCGGAGCGACCGAATCAAAGATGACCCTGCGCGCGTGCCGCGAGCTGCCAGCCGTCGGCCACCTGGGGGCCCGAACCCGCCAAATGGCCACGAACATAATCTTAAACATCCCACGAGAGGAAAACCCCAGGGGATGGCTTGAAAAAAAAGCCATGTGGATACTGAGATCGATTGCGAGGTCCCTAATGATATTCATGGTGGAATCGATAGTGGGGACGATCGTAAGGTCGATCGCGAGACCGCCAATAAGTAGATTCAGTGAGATCGATAGTAAAATCGATCATGGGATCGGTTGTGAGATCGATAGTGTGATCGATAATGCGGACGATAGTAAGGTCGATCGTGAAGCCGATAGTGACATCGATCCAATGAGATCGATAATAAGATCAATCGTGAGATCGCCCGTGCGATCTATCATGAGATCGCTTGTGAGATCGATAGTGAGACCGATAGAAAGGTGGGTAATGAGAAGGATAGTGAGACCGATCGACAAGGAGATCGACCAAGAACCTGGGAACCCAGAAACCTGGGAACCTGGGAACCCCGCCACCCACCGAAATCGGCCTGGAACTAACCACCGGGGACCGGGCAACCCGGAACCGGGAATCCAGAAACCAGGCCGCTTACCGAAATCGGCAGGGCACTTTCGCCAAATCTTCCAAAATTCGCCAGGACCCCTTCAGTGCAAGCACTGATCGGGAGCATCCGCCAGGACCCCTTAGTGCAAGCAATGATTGGGGAATGAAGTAGCCGGATAACGGGTTCTGGACCCTGGGGCCTTCCCCTCCTCCTCCTCCTCCTCCTCCTCCTCCTCCTCCTCCTCCTCCTCCTCCTCCTCCTCCTCCTCCCCCATGGGCCAGCTGGTCATCCTGCGCCGTCTTCTGACAGGGGCGCGTGTGCGGGGCCTCGGGAGCATAGCACGGCCATGAACCTCAGGGCCCGTGTCCCACGGGAGCCCCTCCGGGCATCGTTTATCGGGGATCTTCTGACCTGGGTCAATACAAACCACGGTGATTCAGGCCTTGCAGAATCCTGCAAGAACAAACCTGGGTCAATGCGAAGGATCCTGCAAAATCTTGTAGAATCCAGCACCCAAACTCGGGTCAGTGCGATCCTGGCCCTGCAGGATCCTGGGATCCTGCAAGATCGGGCGCTCTGGCTGACCCCCGTTTGCATTGACCCCCGTCTCAAGGCTGCCGAGTTTAACCGATCCCTATCCCCACCGGCGAGGTGTGGGCCCCACTGGCCGATGAGCCCCCCCTGGATGGAGGTATGAGCTGTTTCCTTCGGGCTTCGGAGGGTCTGTCCCCGACATGGAGTGCTGAGCCCCTCCCTTCGCTCAGACACGAGCAGCGGCATAAGCATGGACCTCCACGCGCGGAGCACGGAGCGCGCCAAGGGCGGCTGGCCCAGCGCCAGTCCAAGAAATCCGCGCGGGCCTCCGCAGGCTTAGGCTTCTGCCGCTCCTGCCTCTTCTGATCCACGATCCGTTTCCCTCGGGAGCCCTTCCCTTCACGGCGAAATCTTGAGGGCGTCGCCGCCGCGTCGAGTCGAGCCGGTACGGGCGCGCCGCAAGCAGCCTGGCGGCCGCCTTTCGACCCAGACCTTTGACGTCATGATTCTTTCCAAACGTCGACCCCCAAAGGTCTCGACCCATTCCCCGGGACCAAACTTTTCATCCCGAATCAATGGTTGACGGTCCCGCGGCCTGGCAAGGGCCCCAAGGGCCGAACATAGTCAAAACCAATCAAAACCTCCCGCCGTCATTTTTTCATGACCGGAAGGGGTTATTAGGGGGCGAACGAACCTACCTCGCTTTTGACCACCCTCGCTTCCAAGAGCTACCAAGCGATGCCAAACTACGGCCCGCACTGGTCAGGCCGCTCGACGGGGAGGCACGCGGTATGACTCGGTTTTGCCTGGAAGCGAAAGCGGGGCATAGGTAATTCACGCTCTGAGTTCTGAGGGGGAGCACGGCGTCGCCCACGACAGTCGTCACCCGCACGCGCAGCGGGCCCCCCCAGGGGGGCTCGCCCGACGTGCCGGCCGAGCGGCTGCAGTGCGCCTTGGGGGGAGCAAGATCGCGTTTCTTTATGTTCGGCGATGACGGGCGTCATGGGGGGGGGGAGCGGGGGGGAGTATGACGTGACGCCCCCCTCCGCCGAGTGGCTCGGGCACAACAGCCGCGCCCGCGCGCACGACGCGACGAGCGACGAGCGACGAGCGACGACGACAACGCGAGCAGCATGTAAGTGGCGATCAGCCCAATGCGCCTGTGTGTACACCACAACGCTCGCGTGCACCACGCCGCGCGTGCGCACCACAGCGCCTGCGTACACCGCAATTGCCATGTGCAATGCACCGCCCATGTATACCACAATACTTGGGAGCACTACGGCGCAGGTGTACATACACCGCAGCAGCCATGTGCAACACAACGCCTGTGTACACCACAGTGCTTGCGTGCACCGCAGCGCCTAGCACGCCACAGCGCCTGTCTACACCA